ATGTATTTAAGTTTAAACCCCAATGTATTCAAGTTTAAACCCCAATGTATTTAAGTTTAAACCCCAATGTATTCAAGTTTAAAATTAAATATATATCATATTTTATAAAATGAATTTACCTCAACTGAATCTTCAGTCCCGGATACCTTAATTGTTTAATCTTGCAAAATCTTTAAAGGGAATTCCGTTCTTATTTTTATGTACCCTTTACAGAAGGGTATGAATACCCAATTCACAACAGTACCCTTTTTAATATTGTATATGATCAATAATGTGGAAGACATCGTTGTTTCTCCAGCTTGAAAAGAGTCTAAGTCTGAGATGTTTCTTCAATTTTTTCTGTTGTAGAAATCCGCAAGAAAAAACCACTAATAAAATACGATTTCTCATTTATTTTATTAGGCATGAAACAACGCTGTTCAGATTACTGTGTGAATTTGACTCTCTTTAACCCTGAACAGGCTGGGTGAGGGAGACGAATGCCCCCCCCCCCCCTATAATTTTTTTTTGTCCTACAGTGATAACCAGTAAACTCTGGAGTATTAAGACGACTTTTAGACTCAAGTTTTGACTTTAAATAGTCCAATGAGCATGCGACCCAACAATGATGCAGTTTAAACAAAACCATTTCATAAAATAATTGATATTATAATTAAATTTGTCTTGAAAACTATTTGCTTTGTGGCAATATAAGATACACTTAAAGGGACCGTTCACTTATTTGGGTAATTTCAGGGTAAACTAAACAGCCTATTCGCTCTTGATTGGTAATAGTCTTACTTTTCAAAGACAGCTGTGGCCGGAGAAAAAGCCGATTTTTCGTACAGAATTTGAGCGGAAAGGGACAGTTCCTCTCTATAGACACTATTTGATGTTTTTTTCAGTAACAGCAGCCCAATAACATAATAAATTTATTATATTTTAATGTCATTACGTTATCGTTATTATGAACTAAAATATGAAAACTTTTGATATTTGAGTTAGCAAGAAATTTACGTTTTTCGTATTAAAACATGTAAATTATGTTTACAAAGACGACGTCTCTACTACAATCAATTAATCATTACTCGTATTTTGGGGCGTAGATTTTGTAGATTTTGTTCCCGCATGTGCACAACTTTTCATTTGTCATGCCGCGTTCAATTCAGCTTTTTACACAGGCAATACACAATTTTTGTTTACCTATTATGGCTTAACGAACCAAAAATCAAAATATATCTGTTCATAGTTGCACCCGCCACCCACGATAGTTAATAATTGTTTAATCCATAAATTTCAAATATATAATGTAATTTGTTTTCTCGTGGAATTAAAGCATATGATAAAATAACAAATTCAAGTATTTCACAAAACTATTGTGTTTTGTGAATTGGTGCTCATTAAGTTTATGCATCATTAAAAACTGTTTTATCATGTTGAGATTGTTTGAAAGTAAGATTTTTGGTGGATGTAAAAGCCAAATATATTTTATGTGAGACTAAAGTGGAAGCAGAACGGTGGAGCCTTGGAGACATAGCGAGAGGCGCTGGGACGGTTTAGGCGGTCATTCTGCGGATCAGGAGGCCTCGGAGTTCATTTCGCGGGTCTCATGGTGGCCCTGCACCCCCTTCTTCGGGTAACTGATTGCAAAAGATTATACACTTCAGCTATTATATTGACAGCTAGTAAAGCTATAACGCATATTGCATATATTGCATAACTAAATCTATTAAAACTGAAACTAGCTTAATTTACTTTCCATTTATGTAATTTTAAATCAATGACTTACAATAAATCAATGACTTACAATTACTTATTTCTTTAACATTCTTGGTATATTTTCTTTGCAATGTAGCGATTTTTCGCAAACAAGCTGAGAATCGATTATTATTCACACGATTTATGATAGTGCAGATTAAACTTAACCCTTGAAGGATATGAGAAGAAGTAGATAAAAAAGAAAACTTCTTGTCTGTTGCATGATAGTAACTGAATGGAAACATGACACAGCTTCAAACATATTTTGTTTTATTTAAATCACTAATTATATATTTAATTATACACCATATGGACAAATATAAAAGAAAATGACTGCGCGTTTTTCCATAATTAATAAAAATACTGACTGAAATTCGAACAAACCTTTTTTTTTCCTGCGCTGGCAAGTTTTTTTTTAAACCTTCAACTCGTTAAAATAGAATATAAACATTAGAGGAGGTCGTGCTTTGTAAATTCAAGTGATCCAAGTAAACTTTTATCTCTAAATTGAACAGCTGAGGGCTTAAGCTTTAAAAAAATGATTAAATTTCGGAATAAATGTCATCATTGCTGAAATATTTCATTACTACGACGACATTTGCTTCTAGAAAATAAGGGGAAGTCCCCCCCCCCCGAATCAATGCTTGTGATATGGCAGGACTAGGGCCATATCGTAATTATCATTTCATCAATCATAATTTTAAAATTAGATTGAAAAGCTGTCTGATCAATTGCAGTTTGCAATTGAATTCCTGTATGACTGTATAAAATATTTTTTATTCCAAACTCTAAACGTAAATGTGTAATCTCGGAAGAACTGTCATAGAAATAATTGCCAGGATTGTTTCCGCCAAATGTGTAACTTTAAAAAAGATTATTGACCTCTCGATCCTCTAATGAACATTGAGGTTTGTTATATTTGCATGAATGTTTTACTATATATTTATTACATGTTTCAAATGTCATTCCTTTGTAAAAAGATGGTTTTTTGGTATGCAACAATTTTCATTTAAAGGGAGTGTTCGCGAAAAATGAAAGAGGGTATAGGGTTAATGCAATAAAAGAGCGCTTTTGATCGCTTCTAATCTTACTTCTATCTGTTGCGTCTATTACGAGAAAATTGTTAAAAACGACTAATACCGAAGAACGTCGCGTAGTATCCATACAAATTCAGAAAAGATGCAACATACGACTTAGACCGTAAAAAAATCTATTTAATTTCAAACAAATCATTCAGATATTACACCCTATGTTCATCGATTATCTTTCGCCACATTTGCATATAGTTGATTTTTCAGAATAT